CTCCCCAGCACATCCAGAGCTTCTCGGAGCATCTCTTACCCAACCCAAGGATACAGAGAGATGAACCATAAACTTCCAGTTGACCAGTGGTTCTCAGACTTTAGTGTCTGGCAGAGTAATTGGGAGGACTCGTTTAAACAGATTGCTGAGCTCCATCGCCATCAGTAGGCCTGGGATAGGACCCCAATTTTTATTTCTAAGAAGTTCCCATGTAGTATTGATGATAATGGTTCAAGCACCATACTTTGAGAACCATTGAGTTCATAGAAATGGTCACGAGTAACCTGAGTCCAGGGCAGGAATGTGTGTAGAAATCTTTCCACTAAGGTGAATTGCCTGATAACCCCTGTGAAGATTAGGGCTTTCTTTTTTCAGCCCCAGTGTTTTCAACCCTGACCTCCCTCTTCTTACTTTATAAATTTATTGGTAGAGGAAATAGTTTCATGAAGTTTTTCTAAGCTTTTATGAGCCTGACAAAATCTATAGACACTCTTTCCAGAAAAACCCATCTACACATACACAGAAGCATTCCTCATAATTTCAAGTGGTGCTGGGACACCTCTCCCACCAGCCTAGCCACTGACTCTAAAGAGTATCAGTAGAAAAAATATGCCCTAGGGGCATCTGGGTGGCTCAGTCACTTAGGCATCCAACTTCAGCTCAGGTCATGATCTTGCAGTTTGTGTGTTTGAGCCCCATGTGGGCCTCTGTGCTGACAGCTCAGAGCCTGGAGCCTGCTCTGGATTCTGTGTTTCCCTCTCATTCTGTCTGTCTGTCTGTCTGTCTCTCTCTCTCTCAAAAATAAACAAACATTTAAAAAAAAGAAAAAGGGTGCCTGTGTGGCTTAGCCGGTTAAGCATCCGGCTTTGGCTCAGGTCATGATCTCAACAGTTCATGAGTTCAAGGCCCATGTCGGGCTCTGTGCTGACAGCACAGAGCCTGGAGCCTGCTTTGAATTCTGTTTCCCTCTGTCTCAGCTCCTCCCCTGCTTACCCTCTGTCTCTGTCTCTCTCTCTGTCTCTCTCTCTCTCTCTCAAAAATGAATAAACATTAAAAATTTAAAAAAAGAAAAATTATGACCTAACACAAAGCCTTGGTTCATATGGATGTAACAAAAATTCCCTTCTTATAATTAATCTTTCAGTTACCTCATTTTTAAAACAGGAATAATAATAATAGTTCTTACATCAAAGTTTTTGTGAAGATTAACTGATATAATACATGAAAGGGCATAGTTTAAAAACCAAAAACACTGAATATTACCTTTTACTCTCTGTAGTCTTGCTACAATAATCCTCATTCTTCAGGCAAGTGGGTGCCTCTCCCTACTAAGAAAAGATCAGGAAGTATAAGAAAAAAGAGCCTAGGAGTAATGTTTCAAGACCTTACTCTATGCCCATCACATTCTTCCGCTAAGATCTGGTCACAGGCTGCCGTATCATGGTTCTCCCTGTGAGCCCCTGAGCAATGGGATCTAGCAAGCCCAGGCTTAGCTCTGTGACATGAGAGTCTCAATTTATTTGCCCTGAAATACTTTTCTTTACAAATGCCCAATGCCCTGTCATGTCCCCATGTTAGTGTCCCCATGTAAAGTTCTAGTAGAGGTTCGTTTCTAGGATAGAAGATGCTGAATCTTGAGAAGTAATGATTAAGGGCTAGGCCTAATTCTCACTGCTTCTACAAAAATAACTGAACAAGTACCTCGATAGGCCAATCGGCAGACATTTATTTAGTGCCTACTGTGTACACTGTGTAATAGGTGACCCAAAGAGAAGTAACACATGTCTCTAGGCGGTGCCAACTCACAAGCCAGCAGGGATGAGAGATACGTGCAAAAATAAGCCAGACGCAAAGTGAGCCTTAGCAAGGGCAATGATTGTGGTTCATACCGGAGTTCAAGAGTACAGAAGAGGGAGAAATCAGTTTTGACAGGGATCCATTAAAGTGTCTTGGGCAAGGTAGGAATCAAGCTGAACTCTAAGGTGGAGTGTGACCACGTTAGGTGACTGTAATGGAGAAGGACATTATAGGCTGTGTAAGTCATTTGAATAAGAGAGTTAGAAAAGTGCTCAGCTTAACTTTGCACGATTATGATTTACCCAGGGTGACTATAGTATGGGAGTGGGGTGGAGGTGCAGAACTTGAGGCTGGAGAGAGAAGTTGGAAGCATATGGTAGGAAAGAAACCAAAGGCCAAGTGAGGAGCTTTGGCTTTACTCTCCGTTCAGTGGGGAAGGATTGAGGACCTTTGGGACCAGGAGCAGATCTGCTTTTCCAAATAAGAGAGCCTGGTGCCACTGTGAAGAATAGATGATACAGAGCAAAAAGAAAATAAGACCTGGTAAGGTAACAGGAACCTAAGCCACAGCAGTGGGAGTGGCCAGCAGGGGATGCAGGGGAGAGGTATGTTGAGAGGCTGCATTTTGAGAAGGGTCGATGACATGTAGCAAAAAAAAAAAAAAAAAAAAAAAAAAGCAGAGGCAAGAGGCAAGCTGAGAGGGCTCTCCTTGGCACGCCCAGTCCCAGGTGAGGTTGCTGCATAAAGCAGACCATGGGCTCCAAGGACGAAACTGGCCAAGGGCCCAGAGACCAGGTGGTGAGGAATACCTCTTGGCTGTCCCAAGAAGTCTTCTCCTTCCTTGAATGCCCAGAAGGGTAGCAACTGACCATCTGCTTTGCCTGCGTGGAATATCAAAATCACTGATTCCTGGACATGAGTCCTCAGCTTGGCAGCTTCAGAAGTCCTGGGGATCTTTTAAAATCATTTTCAGGCCCTTTCCCATGTGATTTTGATCCGGGAACCTGACCTGGGGCCCAGGCATCCACGTTTTGCAATGCTCTCAGGTGATTCTGTTGCACATCTGTTGTGGGAAACCACTGTGGGACCTTACAACTAGTCTGGAAAGTGTATAGCAACCCTGGGCTCAACACGTACTTGTGCTAATGAACACTGTGATAGGCTGAAGACTTTCGGTTTTGGCCTCCAGCAGTGACTTTTAGCACAGTGACCTTCATCAAGTGCCGAACACCACCCCCGACCTCTAGTCCTCGGTGAACACATCAGGAGATGGGAGAGGCCGCATGCTTGACAGGGTCCCCCAAACGTCCCAAAAGGGCAGTGTACGTACAAGCCATCATTTCCACCCTTGTCCTCAATTCAAAAAGGAGAGCTGGGCTGTGTCGCAGGGATACCGTAAGAGAATCTTATTACAGGATGTTTTGAGACTCTACAGAACAGGCTACATAATAATACTGTCCATTTTCTGCCAGGCTTATCCAACATTCATAGCACTTTTATTGCTATTATTGTTTTTATTTTTCAGGAAAATAATACAGTACACAGGTAAGGCAGGTGTTAAACTTGTCCCTCTACACACTGGGCTCTGTGTGATTTGGTGACTCGTGCAAGGTCAGACAAACCAGAGCCAGGCCCGAACACCCCATCCTTCTGAGCCCCGGTTCTGCTTCTGGGCCATGATGGAGAAGGGTAACATAAAGGCATTTTTCTCTCCTTGTAAAAGAGAAAAAAATGGGGGGAGGGGGAATTATTTAAACACACCTCACTCATACTGCAATCACTGCATTGTTTTTCCTGTTGAAACACCCTGTTGGTTTTTAAATCCCTTTAAACCTACCCGGCACCTGTATGGCCCAGATCCAAGAATTATTACCGAACCCTTCACTTTTTATATTTAGCCACATAGGGGCTTCTGTGATGGTATCTGGCTCTTGGTTCGGTTGAAAATTTCAGAGCTTCCAAGAGTTTTCTTCTTCCAGAGAAGCTAGAAGCATGCAATGCTCAGACATGATTTTTTAAGTAAGTGGGGTATGTCTCTCCACTTATGTTCTCCTGGGTAAAACAGCATCATGGCACTAACCTGTACTGTTCCTGTGTGAAGATACTCCCGAAATACTGACCAAATGAGAGGGCAGGAGAAAGATTGGGGGGGGGGGTTCTTCATGAGCTCTGCATGGTTTGTGGGATGACCTCTCTTCAGGGCAAGAACTGAGGCTGAAAACATAATGAGAACTTCCCAGCAAATTCATTATAACAAAGCATAATGTGAGCTCACTGGGCACAAAAATAGGCTGAAGGAAAGTGACTCCCACATAAGACCTAATTAAATACTTTGATGTCAGAAAGCAGAGCAGGAGGGTAGAAAATCAAATCTGACCAAAGTAGAGGACCTAAATTCAAATAGGAGAAATTTCTCTCTCTCCATCTCCCTCTCCTCCCTCTCTCTCTCTCTCTCTCTCTCTGTCTCTTCTCTCTCCCCACCACCTTCTCTGTGCCTCTCTCTCTCCTTCTCTTCCTTTGCCACGAAGGAAGAATAACTCAGGAACAATAGGTTGTAAATTCTTCAGCCAATTAGTCCAGTGACTTACTACTGTTTATAATGCACAGAATGTCACAGGCTGTTTTGCAGCCTCCCCAAGTTGGTTTGTTAATAACAGGAAGCTAGCACTTCTCAGTACAGTGGATCAGCTACACGTGAAAATAAATGCAAAAAACCTGGAGGGGAATAGCAGCAGACCAAGAGTAGCCTTGATTTAATTTAACATTTGGGGGTCCACACACAAATGAGCATTTTAGTAGGCTTCATGGTGGAAGTTGCTGTCATTTGTAAAATATTCTGGCCAATTAGCTAATAGTGTGCTTGGATTTCTCCTGTTTTGATACAGTAATACTAAGTACATTGTGAAGCCCAATTATACAAATCATCCCCATATGCCATACCAGTCTTTCTTTATGAACTGTGTTTATAAATCCTGTGTGAGGAAATGTGTACTTCAGCAATTTAGACCATGTGTAAAAACATAGCCAATGGGATTGTCAAGAAAACAAGTTCCAGCCTAGGAAATCCTAATGTGTTCCGCTGGAATAACAGGAGGGTGCCGGGGAGTGCAATGCTCTGCTTAAATACATATTGCTTTATAGTGTTGAGCCAATTTAGGGGCTTCCGCTTCCCTTTCTGTTATTTTATTCTTCTTTTCTTTTAGGATCCAACCTTGGAGTTTTTGAGAAAATTTGGGATTGGTCTTCTCTCGGGCACAATAGCCTCAGTCATTAACATCCCTTTTGATGTTGCCAAAAGTAGGATTCAAGGGCCTCAGCCAGTTCCTGGAGAGATCAAGTACAGAACCTGTTTTAAAACAATGGCAACAGTCTACCAGGAAGAAGGGTAACATTCTTATTTTAATAAATGTGCAGGGTTCACGTATTATTAAAGCTATATTGTGCTTCCATTTTGATGAGAGCCATTAAACCCTCCGAAATTGGGTGTGTGTTGGAAAAGCTCTAACGAATGACAAACTTTGTGAGATAACACAGTAAGGAAATGTTGGCAACGAGTTCTGACACCATCAAGAACCTCGGGCCACCATCCTACAGTCCGCTGTATGTTTGAGAATGCGAAGATGAACCTTTTGCTTGTCAGTTTGCACAATATGCTCTAATACACCCTGCTAATGTGTGGGCAGGAGAGTGATTGTCTTCTAACTGTAAATCTAATCAAAATGTCACCTCATTATATTCTCCTGGGGGAATTAAACACGAGAGTTCTGTGCAAAGGGTTTTCTTTCAAAAATGTGAAGTACAGGTTTTTTTCTGCTAGTGTTTTTGAGTCTTACATTTGTCTTCATACCTCTTCACCCAGATCTTATTCTCAAGTAAGCAAGTAATATTTTATTTCGATCGAAGCTATATCATATTTCCTTTTGTGCAGACTGAGTTTGTGGTCTTTTAAATTTGATTACAAAAGTCATTTTGTCCATGTACACAGCTGTCTTGAAAGTAAGACCTGTGTTCAGAGCAAAAGCCATCTCACTGATGAAAGTCATATTTCTGGTGGAGATGATCAGCAGAGCTTGGGCATCAAAGAATTGATTAACTCTTTCCCTTTGTCCAATTTGCTGCAGAAGACGCATAGCCAGATATTTTTGGTTTGCGATATGTGTAATTTCAAATAAATGTTCTTGTAGATGCTGCGTCAGCAGCTCCATAAAGCTGAGGTACAACCCCATTTTCTTTTCAGAGTTATGAATGTTGCTCTTTCCCTTCCTGTTGTAGGATTTTAGCTTTGTACAAAGGCCTGCTTCCCAAGATTATGAGGCTTGGACCAGGTAATGATGTTTTTATTACTTATATCCTCCCTTCTTTATTGTTCTGTTGTCGCTTTTTTTTTTGTGTCTATCGGCAACACATTAAGTTTATCACACTGCGAAAGATGGAAATCTTGAGGATATAAAGTTGTCTAGGAGTATTCAAGATATTAAAGGTATCCATTAGAAATGTTTTCTTTAAAAAAAAAAAATGTTTTCCACCTCTGTTTATAAGGTACTATTTAAGGCCTTGCTAGAGACTGATAGAAGCCAAAAAGCCCAGCTTAAGTCAATAGAAAAGGATCCACAGCCAGTTGAAGTTTGAGCACAGAGATGTACATACAGTGGCTTCTGGCTACAGGAAAGGATTCTCAGTGAGTGAGGGAGCAGCCCAATAAAACTTTCCTGGTGCCCCAGGTTCATTCTTGTTCCTGCCTCAGCTTCATTTCAAAAACAGAAAAGAGGGATAACTTGCCTCCACAAATGGCAAGAACCACTGGGCTTCGCAATCACCTGTGAGTTGTGAATACCGTCCAGGGAGCTGTGGTGCTGCGGCCTAGCACTCACCTTCTGGGCCTCTGTCAGCATGATGGTGGAGACTCCTGGCTCAGGGCCTCACCTCAGGATGCCAGCCCACAAAATAAAGCCGGCTGCCATTCCCACAGGGAGAGTCAGCTGCCTCTATGTAAATAGATGAGAAAATAACTGCTGCAGACCCAACTGCCTGGGCAAATAGTCTTGGGTTATAAGCAACCTTCTGTGTAAGGACAGAGGTATGCACCAGCCCACATATTTTTTTAACCAAGCCACACTCACCTGCTTAGGCATCCTAGTATTCTTTCCCAGAAGCTTCACCTGCTCCTCTCCTCTCTCCCTTTCCCATTCCTCCCTTTTAACACCAATGTCACACACAGGCATGTTGACCATCAAATCTCAGCCCAGTGAACCAGCATTTCTACCAATGTGAGGATAGAGAACAATGGTCTGTAAACTGAAGGCAATGAACAGCTCACACTTTCACATATTTAAAAAAAAAAATTTCTTTTAATGCTTATTTCTTTTTAAGGGAGAGACAGAGTGTGAGCTGGGGAAGGGGCAGAGAGAGAGGGAGACACAGACTCCAAAGCAGGCTCCAGGCTCCGAGCTGTCAGCACGGAGTCCGACACAGGGCTCGAACTCACCAACCGCGAGATCATGACCTGAGCCGTAGTCGGACGCTTAACCGACTGAGCCAGCCAGGCACCCCCACACTGACACGTATTTAGAAAACACTTCCACAATTCCCAATCCATCGATCCCAGCCTGTCTAGTCATATAAGCATGGATTTTGCTCCACATTTGAGATTCGGACTTGCCTCCTGTCAGTCATTGGCCCGTGTGTAAAAACAAAGCCAATTGTAAAGAATCTTGGTGATTCTGTGCAACTCTGTCTGCACGTATGTGGTGTTTTCCCTTCACCGCACAGTAAAAACCTGCTGGTAGACCTAGTATTAGAGAAAATCACAGGAATGACCCTAACCCAGCTTTCTCAGGAGGCGATGGGCCTAAAAGGAGTGGTGATCAGGGAGAGTTTAACCTAAAACAGTAATTGACTGGAACCTTAATCCCAAACTCTTAAATAATCTGACCCCAAGGTTTGTTAGAGGCTTGCAAATGTTTGGTTGGCTTTTCAAATGTTTTTGCATGAGGTGTCCTGAGTTGATATAGTGTTAAATATGATGAAATGGGTTGCTGTGAATGTACTATCCAGGCTAAACACAACTGTGAATGACTGGAAATCTCGTTCAAGGACCAGGCCCCCACTCACATCTAAGTCCTCCGAACATGCAAGCCCTAGCAACTTGAAAGGAAAGGTAGAAAGGTGTGACATTTGACTTAAGGACAAGATTTTTTCAGAAAGAGTGAAAAATGAAAGGTAAATCTGCAACTTTTATCCTTCGTAGTAGGGAAGCATCTCACCTTTTTTATAACAGCCTCAGCAGCTCTGTGTGGCTAACAACCAGTTACCTCCCATGAAAGGAGAATCGTGAAGCCTGTGGGTCAAACTCCAGACATCACTAGGCTGAAAACTAACCCAATTCTGCATGTTCTTGTCTTACACTGAGAACAGTTAAGAAGAGTAAACACAGCAATTACATAGGTATTAACAGCCCTGTGTTAGTGGGTCATCTTTGTTTGCCAGAGTACCAAGAGGGCTACAGCAGCTGAGAGGGGTATACTAATAGAGGATCTTCATGGGTTAAAAATGAAAATTACAGGCAGGTAATTATCTTTGGTATAAGGTTACACAAACATGTGTGGCCTGTAGATTAAAAAAACACACTCACACACAGATGGCAGTGTGTACAAAATAACTAAGATCAAAATCCAGTGCTGGTTGTTTTCGTCAAAAGTCCATCTTCTGTTCGTGCAGCCAAGTCTTCTTAAAGTTGTGCTCAGGGTATCTGTCCACATTTTTCGCACAGACATGAGAGGATAAATAGATTATATTCAAGAGCATGGGAGACGTGCCATTTACGGCATCAGAACACAAAATCATCCACATGCAAATGCCTCTCCTGACTTCTTGGTATTCTGCAACCTGGGTGCTTAGTTTTCTGTATCATATTCTTGTTGACATATTACATAGCAAGCCTCTTTGAAGCCAGTTATAGAACTCTTCTCTTTCAAGATGAATGGTGGTCTTATGGCACCCAAACCCCACTACCAAATTTTCAAGTGTGATACATTTATATGAGGCAGAGAAGAGGAAGAAAAACAAGAGGAGGAAGAAAGCTAGCTATATTTTGTAATGCACATATTTTAAAATATTCAGAAGCTATTTTTCACATTGCAATCCAGTCTGAAGGCTATAAGCGAAAGCTGGACTCATCTGTCAAGTACCCTCTTAGAGAGTTCCTTCTTGAGTGCAACTAGGACAATGTTAATTATGGACTGAAAAAGATAAATCCTTTGCCTACATATGAAAAATATGAAGGTTTGTTTGCAGGAAAGCCACATGCCCTTACATGACTAAATGTGTCTATATTTATTTACTTTTAAAAATTAAGAGTGCCTGAAAAAGAATCTGATGAGAAATGCTGAAAGTCACAGAAACTCATGGGGAAAAAATGTATTTGGAGACTCAAGATGGTCTTGATTTTGCTGTGAGAATTTTCCACAATAGTTTTACATCAGCATATTAGAGCCCAAAGATTGGTGAGTCTAAGCAGCCCCTGCTTGATAGGCTAATGGGACTTCACAGATCCAGAAACCCAGTGGGAAAAATGATGCTACTTTGCAGGATTTGAGATAAAAACCAGCTCTTTTCTTTTCTAGGTGGTGCAGTGATGCTGCTGGTTTATGAATACACCTATTCATGGCTTCAAGAGAACTGGTGATTACCTATGAAGTGTTGAAATAATGGATATTTGCTATACAGCACTGAGCTGATAATTGTAGAATTATAATTTACAATCTTATGTACAATTAAGGGGAAACAGTTTATTCATGAAGTCTAGATTCATGAAAATCTATTTCGATACTCCAAAAATTATCTCTAGACAATTTGAGACAGTAGTTTTGGCCACATCCATAAATCTGTGAGAAGAAAGATAATATGAAGTAATGAGGTGTGTTAATCGAGCATAGAAATCAGATATAGTTCATAAAAGCAATATAAATTTCATGACCTGTATTCCTCTCACACTGATTCACAATGAAAATTCATTGTATTCATAATTACTTTTTTCCCCAAGAGATCAAGAAATGCTTAAAGTCATAAAAAAAAATTAAGCCAAAATTTGAACAATTCTTTTAAGGAATTGTTCCATAAATAATAACTAAAAGGCACAAGGAAAAGATTTTTAAAGTACACTAAAATGGCATTTTAAAAATATTGAATTTTATGTTAAAATTTAAATCCATTGGTTTTCTTTAGAGTAATAATCTACTTTCCCAAAGCTACTGGCACTGTTTTTTTTTTAAATCATGCTATGTGAAGTCTTTTAGGACAAATAGAAAACATGAAATTATGTTGAACTACTTTCCTTCACATAATTCCCTTTGAAAACAATTTTTGTTGCTGAAATAGTTTCATGTTAAATAACAATTTGGAACCACTCCTTGGGCCCATTTGTGCCATGTTTGCATCCAAATATCTTTTTTCAGAACTCTTACCTATGCCATTCTTAAAAAGACTGTTTAAAGTACATTTCCAAATTATTAAAGTGACAGCTTCTGGTATGAAGTCATCTATCTGCAGTGTTAAAATGTGTATTATGAAGGGAAAAATGTTTCAAAATAGAAGTACGTTCTTGGCATTTCCAAAGATTCCTGTACTAACATGCACTCCAAAAAGTATCTCCTTGGCACCGACAGAACCAAACGGGATTTTTTATTTGCCTGCTGAAATGCTACCTCAGTAGCTGACGTCAACAAAAATATCTGCACGTTCTAGACGATACCTATTCTTAACTACTACTAAAGATTATTTCTACCATGAGGCTAGGTCACTGAAGCATTTTGAAAATAAAAAATAAAAGATAACATGGTAATTATTACTTTTTATTAATTTAGAGCATTTGAAGTATAAAAATAAAGGCTTTTTGACATACTGTATATACATACACAGCCTTCGGTTGTACATCCTTTCCAACGTGTTTTTTAATTTATATTTCAGCCCAATATTCAATAAGAGGGTCATTAAAAGTAGAAAGAAGAAAAAAACCAAGATGCGTCTGTCGTACAACTGCATCCTATCCTTTGCAGGTAATGCTATTGCGGCCTGTGAGGGAGAGTACTGCCTGCATGGAGGCCATGAAATTGAACCTTTAACCTCTCCCTGTGAATGGGATGGGAAAGGACCTCTGAAGAGTGCATTTGCCAGTTTAAAAACAACACTTTTACCCCCTAAGAAACAAAGGAAATAGGTCAACATTAGCCAATAATAATAACGTCTAAAAATTAAACAATCCCCCTCCCATTTTCCTTCTCTTATTTTTAAGAGTAGCTTTAAATCATAATTTGCTTTGAATAGCAAGTTGTATTCTAGCTTTCTGTTGTCTTTAAGTTACTCCATGTGAATTCACTGTTGCTAAGAAAAGACCTGAGGGGAAGAAGAGAAGGAAAAAAAAAATCTTGGCATCATTAATATTAGATTTTTTAAAAAACAAGAACCAGAAAAAATTATAAATAGAATAACAAGAGATTTCTTAATTTAGATAAATATTTCATTGTGTTTCATACAATTGAGTTTTTTAAAGACTCTTAATAGCCACCTAAAAATATCTGATAAAGGATAATTCTGTACCTTACGTCAGTTTTTCTGGATGGCAGGGGAGTCCCTGTACAGTATGGTTTTAAAGTCTTCACCAAAATATTGGACTGGTATCTTTGTTCCATTTGGTTTATAGTCTATTTTCTTACCAGACTGGGAACTCCAGATGTCAATAGGAGTTTTACAAGATCAAAGGAAGACTATGGCCCTGAGAGTTCATCTCCTTCTGCTTATTCTTCTCCTGAAGTTATAATCCTCTGTTTGTAGCACTGAATTTCGGTTGCTTTAGAAATAAATGCAGTTCAAAGCCCTCTAAGATATCTGTAGTTGGAAAAAAAAGCAGTTCTTTGAATGTAACTTGTGTGTCAGAAATCTGCTTACTGTTTATATGCTAGTGATCTGAAAACCTAGTTCCTCTAGCCATCTGAGTTTTTTAAATGAAGCCATGAAACCGATGTGACGGAACTGGGTTGCCATGTGGACTGTGCACAGCACAGAGAGGAAGAAACCAAGATCACCTAACCGAATGCATCTTTAACATCCATTATCTAGTGATGTGCCCTTTTAGTTATTGCACAGAATGCCAAAAAAAAAACCCCCATAATATATTAATTTTCCAATAGATGAATTGTACCAATGTTTTTAAAACGTAGTTTCAAGCCTATATCCCAAGCAGGAAGAACTTTCTAAACAGAAAAGAAAAAATGTAGAATTATACCCAAGAAAAGCAATTGTTTTAAAACACGACACCTCACTCACACACACACACACTCTCTCTCATACACACCCCACAGCTCTACTATTAACATTAAAGTGAAAACAGAATTGGTCTAGAAAGACTTACTGGCTAAACTAGGTCCTTTAACTGCAGAAATGAATAAAGGGAATTTTAAAAAATTAAATAGCATTTGTATTTCTAATACCACCACCAGTTTACCTACATGTGAAACATGCTTCTGTACAACAATGTAAACTTCACAGCAAGCCATTTTTACATTCACTAGAGCAGAATTTTCCACTTTCTTTAAATTACAACATAATTTTGGGCTGAGATTGCTGAACACACAGGTAAGCCAACAATAACAGTACAATTTAGTTTCACAGTGGTTTTCTTAACATAAAGTTCATTTTAAGTGTCTTTGCAAAGCATTTCACATTAAACTTAAGTTTCTAAGTGACTTCCTTTAAAGCCTTCTTATTCAGATATTTTCCACCCTCATGTCTTTATATGCTTGGCATGTGTGTTGTTTGATTAGGATACAAAATGGGAGACTGGCTTGTTTAATCTGTTTTTGAGTCCTCTGCTGTAGAAAGAAAATGTCCTTCATAAGATGTTGAAGCCTTCACTGCACACACAAAATTTGGGGCAAGTCCAGGTCCAGGAGCCCACCACCAAACAGAGACAAAGACGTTGCCAGAAAGTCACCTTTACAAAAAGAGAGAAAAAAATAGATTGGGGGGGGGGGGGGGGGGGGTATCCCATGGAATGAAAACACAAATGCACCATCCAGAGTCCCTATTTACAAACTAACAGAAAATATAAACATCACTGTATTTGGAACCCAGTAAAAACATCAGGAGGAGCTAAATTCAGATACGGCTTGTTATACATATTTTCCAACAAAATACGTTATCTCTTAAAAATAAACAAAGCATCACTCAAGTCAATTATTGATTAGTTTCCTAATGATGAATTTAAACTTACTTGGTCACCTTATTTGATTAGAGGGTGCAGCGTAACTTTTTTCTGTATGTGTTTTCCTTTATTGGTTTTGCAAAATCTCAACAATTGCACGTTTCAAAAGTTCAGGTTGATTTAGAATAAATATACACATGTGGTTTTACCAAAGACTAGTTTTAAAAGTTCCTTAAGCCCTTTGAGGGGTGCAGGTTTCTTTGCTACGTTAAAACAGCGTGTGGGCAACACAAATGTCTCATTCAATCCTTAAGATTGCTTTTGTTTTCAAATCCTAAAGTCATGTCAGGTTTCTGCAAGAGAGAAGTTATGGCAAGAAATATTTAAGTGTCATCGGCACAAACGATGTGAGTCCTTAAAGCCAGCTTTGGGGGCGGGAGGGGTGGGATCCGAGACCAGGGGAGAGGGGGAGGGCGTGCTGAGGGGAGACCCGGGTGAGGCTGCCGCGGACAGAATCTCCCATCAGAGTGCAGAAGCCGTGACAGAGTGACTACCTTCTCTGGCTGGCATTCCCTTGAACGCCAGCGATGCGGGAATGTCACAGTTGTGGGGGGAAAGTGGGGTGCCGCTGGCATGTTGCCACCCGTGTCCAGCCACATAACCGGAAGGAGCGGCGCTGTAGGTCATGTAAGGCGACACTTGGGCCGGGGTCGGATAAGGAGCCATGCTGGACGCTGACACAAAACTGCTTACAGCTGGTAGACCATTTGGTGCCTAAGAGTAGGAAGAGAGAAGAGGTGAAAATAATTACATTGTAGTAGTTGACATTTCACGGGTTTGCAGAAAGAGGCAGAATGTAAGTTCCTCGCGTAGAAGCAATATTCTGACTCTAATTTCTGATTTTTTTAGATCTGATCTTTATATTCTAAATGCATTCACAGTCTTGCTGCTTAAACATAAGGCCCAAAAAACAGGATATCATTCTTTCCACAAAGGCTTTGAGGAGGCTACAACAAGAAAATTCATAGTACTTGCTTTGCTATTTGGAATTATAGGAAGCAAATACAGGGTGAGGAAAGAATTAATGGTGATTAAATACTCTCAGAAGCTGTTCGGCTATCCGGATGCCTTTGTCAACCTTCCCCGTACTTGGGTTTTGTTTGGCTCTTTTGTTGAAGCATTTGTGAAGGGCCTGGTTGGCGTAGCTTTCATTTCCAGTAAAGAAGGGCACGGAGTGTAGGCTGTCACTCCAGACTCTCAAAATGAGCACAACCTTTGTTAAATAAAACATGGGCCGTATTTTAAAAGGTCATGTTGAAAATGCCTGTTGGACAAAGGACATGCAAAATCAGGCAGTTGTCTTATAAGGGTTCTTAAATGAAGATTGGGGATATTTTTTTCCAGAGCTATTTTATCAACAAGAAAACTGTCTATTGGAATATAAAAGAACTGCATATGTGTGGTTTTGAAATTGGAATATTGGTTTGCAGAGTTTTGGGGTCCTGTGACATGAGTTTTTAAAAGCCACATCGGTAAGTCTCTTGAAAGGAATTTAAATGTAAAATCCTAGTTTGCAAACAAAATGCAGCAGCCCAGGCAAGGAGCTCTGTCTAGAAACCAGTGTTCTCTTGGCATCCAATAAGTTACTGTTGGTATCGTTACTATTAACAACAATAAAAACACCCCAATTTCCTATCCTGATTCTGGCATGACCACTTGGTATCTCAAGTAACGTTTTCCCCCCTCAATTTCTACATTATTTAGAAATAAAGAGTAAACTTGTTTCCTGGCAGAGATGTGAATGAATTCATACATCAACATATTTCCTAATGAGAGTAAATGTATAATATAATTACTAGTAGTAAAACCGATTCAATCCTTAGAGGTAAGAAAAGAGCAGACTTGTGTTAGATACTTTTTCTAATTCAATTACAACATAGAAATTGTTTCCTAATTCATTTGATTGTTATTTTCACTTCCACATCTATGACAATGCAATGGTGGGCTCTCAAAAATGATTTTCTCCATTTAGAGTAATACATGGGATAGAATAAACACATGGGTATGATTTAACACTGCTCATGGGTTTCTGACAAGATAAGAATAAAAGTAGAGGGGTTAACCTTGTGTACTTGGTCTGTTAGAACACACAGGTCCTGTTCTGTTTGTCAAAGTGCCTGTTCTTTGAAAAATGAGGAAGGGGAAAGGAAACTAAGGTTTCTTGAATATGCCCTATGTCCCAGGCACCAAGAAATAGCTAACATCGTTTATGGAATAATGAAGATTGGTGAATTGTAACTCATTATAAACTACTGGGTTTATAATAATGGCAAGATAATATATAATGATTACAACACAATATTACTTTCATTTAATTTGATTTCAATTGAAATTAAAACGTATTTCAAGGGTCCTATAGGATGGTGCTCTATTTTTAACAAAGAAATCATTGCACATCACTTTAAAATATAAACGAAATCCTTATCCTCTTTTTATACACAAGAATGTAGATTAAGGAATTTAGCCATTTACCCTGGGCCAATTGGCAAATCAATGGTCATGTGTTAAAAACAAGTTATCACCCCTGCCTGACACAGGATCCTCTGTAGCAAATCTTTTCCTGCTTTGCCAGGACATTTAAAGAACAAACACAATTTAATCTCAAACTAGAGCATCTTTTGATATAACATCTTGTAAAAGATTCTTTCTTCTTCTAGAACCCTATTTTCATTGTTTGACCCTCATTCTGTTTCTTAGCTTCTGAAAAAAACAAAACAAAACTATTTCCCCCTTTCTGAGGATGGCTTATCAGAGAATGGTTCAAAGGAGACACACTCTAAGGCTCTCAGCAGATGAGTATGAAGATAGCTATCAAATTGTAGAAGAAATCTAGCATTGCATAGAGATTATAGTTCCAATCATGTTCATGTAGGATTTTCCCAATAACCCATGACCAATTAGTTTTGAAAGGAATCATTCTGATCCAGTTATAGAAAGGTATTTGCATTTGTATTAGCCTCTTCCATTCTAGATTAATTTTTTATCCTGTTTACCATGTCAAGATCATAAAATAAGGTTAAAATTACTTTTAAAACAGTGAAAACCTTTGCTCAACATTTTACAAGTACATAAGGCTAAACTACTTAATGTTATACATGACAGAAACAGTGCTCTAGTTAGCCAAAAAATGTGTTGATAAATTTTATTTTTCATGACAGCCAAATTTTTCCTACCCATTCTTTTTTCTTTGCATTTTTTCTATCATCCAGAATTATAGTTATCTCTGAAACACTTGCTTCACCATCTTCCCTTTACATCCTTGCCCTTAGAGCCATTGCTCTGTGATGTGCCCCCTTTATTTGGGGGCTCTTCAGCTGTTGTCTTGCAATGTCTACCATCCCCTTAGGTAGACCCATTTCTTTTTTCCCAGAAACATCCCTCCTGAGATTATCTCAGATAATGCTCCTGGGATTTAGGGGAGGAAGAACACTGGATTTAGGCCTTTGCTACCTTCAGGTGCCTTACTTATTCTGTGACTACATTTGTTTGTTGGGCATAAACACTACTAATTTGTTCCATATTTGTCCAATTTCTCATACTTAATAACACAAATTTGGTGACTTAAGTATTTCAAAGTTTTCTAAAATCCACAACATATTTAGTATCATTTTAGTGATGCAGTCCCTCTGTACTGCAGAAAGGATGAATAAGAAGGGAAGCTCAGGGAGGTTTGAGCTCCTCGTCTTGTTAGAAAAAAGGCAAGAGGAGGCTAAAGTGAGAAAGTAGGTGATGGGCACTGAGGAGGGCACTTGTTGGGATGAGCACTGGGTGCTGCATGGAAACCAAGTTGTCAAATTATATTTAAAAAAGTTTTTTTAAGTATTTGCTTAAGAGAAAAGAAAAAAAACAGAAATCTTTAAACAGTATAAAAATAGCTCTTTGCTTTCCCTCAGGTTAAATTATGACCCAGATTTGGGGTGAAAAAGTTTTGTCTCAACTTTCCTTCTCACTTGTAAAGTTCAGATTTAGAAATTTAGAAAAAGCAGCATAAACGAGATGACAAACACACTTTAAAATGTGCCTGCCACCTTCACTATTCATTCTAGTGACTCAATAAACACATCAATTTTCTCATATTAATTCTGAAATATGATGTTGGCAAAAGATATAAATCTCTACTGGGTAAAGTAATTGTTATTTATGAAGCAATCACTGAATGAGTAAAATTTTCCACCACAAAGGAAAACAACTACAGGTAGCATTGATGTTTGTTTATTCTTTCCAGTAAAAGAGCACATGACTTAAACGTCCCAAATCTGTTTAATGTTTTCAGTGAAGGGCATGTAATTAATCTGAAAAGCTAGTTAGGCTGAGTAGAGACTACCAAATGTACACCATAAATATAGTGGGAGCAAACATGCTAAATTACTCTATTTAATTGGATTGTAAATATGATTTATAAATCAACCAACATATGGAATCCCCAGAGAAGAGTAAACAAATTTTCCAAATGAAACCCCAGCAATGGGCATGTAATGGAAATCCCATTTTTGAAAATGACTTTACCTAAAGATTCCATAAATAAGACCTCAATCCATCAACTGCTTTTTTATGTGGATCTTCCATAAAAGCCATGAGAATCCTTTCCTCTAAAGAACTATACAAGGATCTCCCTGAAGCAAATGATCTTCCACCTAATTTTGACAATGAGATTTACTAATACAAAGTAAAATAGACCAAACAGCATACCCTAGAAAAAGTTGAATGTTTGTTGAATGTTATTAGGGGGAAAAAAAAAAAAAACAAAAAAACCACAGATTCTATCTCACCGGTATTAAAGAAAATAGTCTAGGGAGAAAAAAAAAAAACACATAAAATACAATGTCTAGTTAAGATTTGAATGAAAAAAAGTGAGTTTTCATTTTACTTGTTCTAAAATTTTAGAAACATAGATTTGCCATTTTTTAAAAACATGCTTTTAAATTAGTATATTGAGAAGCGATATTGGCAGAGAGCTAGACTATAAATAGTTTGAGAACAGGGCTTGCCTCCATCATCTCATATCCTCATAAAATGGGCCATATCATAGGTGTTTCATAACCATTTGTATACCTTAGTGCAGCCTTTTGATACTCTTGCTTTAAAAAAAAAAAGTCACTTTTGATCACAGAACAAGCATTATACATTAAGTAAGCAAAATGAATAAAGCTGTTGAAAAAAGTAAATAAAAGTTCTAATCTAGCCATTTCATTATTTGATTTATGGTTGTTCCATTTATCCACACACCACCACCCCCACCCCCCCGAAAATGGAAATGCATTAAGATCCAAATGCTTTTGACCATGGTGGGAGGAGGGAGTGGGGGGAGGGGGGAGACTGGTATGACAACTGTCTGGCAATTAGAAGTGATAGACAGTAGTCTTCACATTCTGAGAATTGTCTACTCAACATTTTCTCCCTTGAAGAAAATGCAAACAGCAGCGCCCAATCCTCTACCCACAATCTTTCATCCACTCATCAGTTCTACCTGGTCCTCCCCTTATTATAAAATGAGTTTACTTTGGCTTTATAGTAAAGTAGATTTAGCCACAAATAGAGATGTGCTTCACCTAGAATTTCAGCCTCCATAACATAAGCAAGAAAAAGTTTCAGATCTGAAAATAAACAAGATTTTCTTGCTCTTCTGGGTGTAATCTTTGTTTGACTGTTGTTCTACCGTTCTTAATTCATTATGCAATAACCTAGTAAAACAAATCTGATAAAATGAAATGATGGTTGTAAATATGGTTTCAACATTCACCCAAAAAGATCTTAATTATGCTTAGTTATCACATTGCAGATCTAAATGTCTCTAGGTAATGGAAAGCTGCTATTTAAAATTTTTCCCTAAATTCTATATTTCCAAAATATTAAAATTAAGGTAGACATGAAAAAAATTTAAGTTACTTTTTTTTTTGTATTTTATATGACACATTTTACTGCTACATCATTAATCTTGTTTTAAGACACTAATAGTTAAAAGCTACCCAGGTTGAGGAATGTTTTCCATAATAGACAACATCATGAATTTCAAACACTTTCTACTGGCATTTGCCTACATTTTGATTCTCTGCAAAATTATCCATTACTTAACATAAAATTAACTTTATTTCATATGTTGAAAAATCCAGTGCAACTTCATTTATATTTTCATGAGAACAGTATGTCTACAAGGACAACCGGTGTTTAAAATAATGTACTAGAAAGTTATATTCAGGATTCTGAAATACTATATTTCTAATACAATATACAATTTAATGCTTCGTAAGAATTTCAGATTAATTTATGTCTCCAAATCCAACCATTTTCACAGCTTGTTTAACTCTTAACTTTTTAAGTTCAAGTATGTAAGGATTTTTCCTCATTCCTGACATCTCGATTTGTAGCTAATGTTACATTAATCTTGCTGTCTGAGTTAACCTACACTAACCAAAACTGAAGATACGCAAAGCTTATAAATCTAACATTCAGATTACTTCAGTTAGAGTACCAGATATACAACATATTTTTTTCTGAGAAAGTATGCCCAATTGTAGAAAATTTTTCAAGAACTATACAACTATTTATAAACTGTTTAAATAAAATGCATTAATTCACTAAGGACCATATAAAAGGGCAGATATATTCCAAAGCCCCCCCCCCTTTTTTTTGCCATGCAACTGCATTCAGTAAAGGTTTTCTGTTTTAACAGAACAGAACCAGCCATTAGGAACCAAAGAACATTGTTGCCATTCAGAATTAGAAGAGATTAAAGATTTCTAGCCCAATATTAAATGCAGGTGAAAAAAGCCAAAACAAATATTTTTTCTTCTATTCTCAAGGGTAGACAATAACGACTTCTAAATGGTAATATAAAGTATTGACTTCATCTTAATGAGTAAGACAAGTTTGAGTACTCTAAATTAGTGGTTTAAAAACAAAAGATAGGTGTGTATATAGCTGAAATGTGCATAAGGTTCTAATTACTAGCGATCAGGCATCCTTTCTTGTAGTTTAAGCTGAAAATAGAAACTCTAGATTACGGTAATCACTAGTACCTACAATCAGTTGTCAATTCAGTCCCTTTAGTAATTTTACAGGTGTCTTCTGGGAAAAGACTATGCTCTAAATCCTATGATTCTGAATTCTCAATTTCCTCCTTTATGTACTAAAATGAAACTTGAGTCATATAATATTGCACTATTTAATAAAAATTATAAGTGCCCTGAAAGTATTATGTGCATAATTTTTGAGAATTTTTTGCCAAAAACTTTCAAATTTTGTTCATTACACAAATAGAAAAATGTTACCTGAGTTTACATTTTGGTTTTTAAAATACACTTATGCTGATAACATTTTGAAAAATAACTTAAAAATAAAGCTGCTCTTTGAATATTGGCGAGGGAAATGCATACACACACACCACACACACACACACACACACACAACACACCTTACCGTTGCTTTTTTGTTTATGAGCAAGTATTAGTGTAGAATTTTACCCTCCAGGAAATCAAATGTCCAAGTTCAAAACTGTTCCCAAAATGACACAGCCTAAATTTCTCTACCTACTTAGCACACCTTCATCATTAAGCACTATTTTGATCATTATAATAACCACTGATTTAATTGTACTTAGAAACTTCTGAAGTTTTGAAATTTTACATCAACTGAATTATATTACCACATGATAATACAGAAGATTAGCATCCTGCAATTAAGAAGTTTCCAAATTTAAGTTTGATATAAATGTCTTTTTCTTCTGGAAAAAAATTGAACTTGTTCTCTTAGGTACTTCGAACAATGCTTATTTAGCCACTTATGTCTTTAATTTACTTGCTTTTATAAATATAATTCAGTAATAATCAGCGTATAAAATGTAATCAGCTTTCATGTTCAGAATATACAGATTTTTTGAATCAGTTCTATTTTTATTTTAAAGTGGTCTGTTTGAAGTATGTGTGTAAATTAACCATTTCTAAATGAGTATAAACACTAGATCTATATAATTCAAGGGAGGAAAAAAATGAATCAAAGATTTTTGAATTAAGACATTGCTTTATATGTAAACTGGGTTTATCAACTATATGTGAGAAAAACTATTTTTCAACTCTATACTTCACGATGTTATTCCAACAAATGATGACCTAATAAAAACTACTGAGCACCTATTAAACGCGAGCTACTATGCTGGATGCTTTAAATACACTCCTTCTATTGTTTGTAACAACACGCCTTGACACTTTTTGACTATGAACTCTCCAAAGTATATGCTCACACACCCCCACCCCTCAAAATCGCTTGTTTTTGGAAGACCATCTCTAAACCGCCATGTATAACCACTGGCAACTTTTAATGGAGGTTTACTGTGCGCCTTACGACTGCATTATCTCATTGAATCTTGAGGTTGGGACTATTATTTCCCCGTTTTACAGATGAAAAAATGGAGGCGCTAAAATCACTTGCTTAAGTGGCAGTGGTGCCAGAAGATCGGAGCTCCTAACCGCTGTACCTACTGCATCTTCTTTATGATAAGGAGCTTTTTAAAAAGAAAACGACAAACTTTCGTATAATTTCTCCATGACATTCTTTACAGTAGAAACAGATACGGGAAAGGGACTCTTTCTTTGCTATTTTCGAGGATCTTTGTCACGGGAGAACTAATACGTATATGAGTCTCTTTTAACAAAACAGAGAGAGAAAAGGAAGTGGAAATGGCGTTTGAGAAAATGAGAATTAGGATTTTTTTTTCTTCCCAAGTGAATAAAAGCAACAAGTTACATATCACATAAAACGCTGCTTTTTGACAGCTAAAACATTAGGAGTTTTAGGACTTCAAAATAATAAAACGAAAACTGGGTATTTGGGGGCTTCGGAACTGGAGTTTGGCGTTAAGAACCTTGCAAATCTACCCAGACCCGCTCAATGAAACCTTAAGCTGCTTTAAGGTCCGTGTTTGTTTGTTTGCTTGCTTGCTTTTCGGGGCTTTGAACTCCTGACTCCAACTTGGTGATGAGTTTAGACTCAAACCTCTAGGGCGTCAGTGGTGGTGGTTGCTTAATTTTTTCCGGGTGGGGGAGGGGGGCGGGAGAACACGAGTGTTTTAATTTTTCTTTTTGCAGAGTCGGGGGAGGGACAGAGGGAAAGAAAAATTAAACGGTCCACAGCCAGTCCGTATAATTTGAGGTTTTCTCACAAACCTCCCTTGGGAGATTACAACGTGACCCTTAATCTGGAAATGGTAACTTTATTAGGTTTATCTGGTTGCCCTCTCCGAACGATCACAGGGCAGGCTACGCCGGCGTGTTTTCAGGGAGCCGCCGTACGAGACACGCGCGAGCGTGGGGACCCCGCAGCCCACCAGCCCGCAGGCCCCGACTCCCGGCCTGCGCTTCGCGGGCGTTGCAGGCAGCCCGCGCCGGCGCCGCTCAGAGAACCCAGGCCGCTCTCCCGGCCCCTCGGAAGCGCCTTCCTTGGGTTACTATTCCCAGTGCGAGCAGCAGATTGGGCTTCGGGGGCCGCGCCTGCAGAGGCGAAACAGGCCTGGAGGCGTTTCCACCGCCCCAGGCCCTCGAGCCCGCGGCGGGGGGTCGTGGCTCAACTCCGCCCTGCAAGGTCCCGGCCTCCGTCCCGCCTCACCCAACCGTGACCGCCGGTCGGCCCGGGCTTGCCCTCGGTCGAGGCCCAGAAAGAACTGGGTCCTGCGTCGCCCAAACCCCCGCGGCCACCGCGGCCCACCCGGCGGGGCCCTCGCCTTCTCACCTGACCGTACTTGGCTTCCTGCTCCAGAGCTCCCTTCTCCAGCCCGTTCACCGCGTGGGGGGCGGCGGCGGCGAAGTTGTTACGGCCCAGGCTGCTCCACTCCTCCACCTTGGGGCTGTGGTAGGGGGAGCTGTCGCTCACTCCTGGGGAGGACGAGAAGGCGTCAAGCTGGGGCTCCAACCCGCGCACCCCGGCCTGAGACGCGGCCTGAAACCGCGACCCGCGAGCTCCAGGGCTCCGACCCCTGCCCTCGGCCTCCCGGGGGCGCTGGTCCCAGGCGCGGCCTCGCCGGCTTTCAGCCCAGGGCCCCGCGACACTGACTCGCTCAGAGTAGGCCTCTCCGAGCTCTTTCACCGAGGCCTGCGGGAAGGTTTCTTTTTCTCCCTTTTTCAAAAGCCTTTGATTTTCTCCTCCCCCCGCCCTGCTCGCTCCCCCGAGGAATCGAATGGAAAGAACCTGGGAGTTTTCCCAAATTAGGGAAAGAACACGTGAAGCTGTTCATCCCAATCGTAACCCAGGGTTGACTCGGGATTGACGAACACTGGGACTGGCGCAGACTGAAAAGGGAGAGAGGAGCGTCCTTGGCCTAACCGTCCTTGGCCTGTGCTCCTGCTCAGAGACATCTAGAAAAATGCTCACTGTGCTGTGGGGATCTAGTACTTAGGTGGATAGATGAGACAAAAGACCTGTAAAGTCCTTTGCAAGCAAATAACTACGTGATGGCCACAATGCACATGCAAAATATACATGCATAGTTTCTGTCTTGTGTGTGCCTAACTTATGTGTGACTACCCTTGATGCTCTATGTCTACATGTTAAATATGTGAGGTTATGTGCATATGACTCAGAAAATAAATATTACAATTACCCCTGTAAATGCCACCAGTGACAGTGGTAAGGTTATAGAGAGAGGGTGGATTTTTTTTTAATGAAATAAAAAGTTAAGAAAATGAAGGTAGAATTAAGTATTTTGAAAGGAGTAAAACCATCAGTTATCCTTTATGTTCTTAATAGAGAAACAAAGAAAATTATACACTGTAAAATGATTACCACAATACCTAAAGGTGTGCCTATTAAACCACTGCCATCTTTGAATGGCCAACTACAGTTTTAAAGAAGAGATATTTGAAGACTATGAGCAATGTGTTTTTGTCTTTGGGACCTATGGGTGGAGGACTGAAGTTTGATAAAGCCACTACAACTTGATTTTAAATACTTCCATCTGACACAGTGCTTTGAAGGAGCAATCATTTTGTAGAAGTGATCACTTATAGAAATAATCATCTTATGTTCATGGATTTGTCAGAAAACATGTTTAAAGCTGGCATCCAGAATCAACATCTAGAACGAACAGTTGCTCCTCTCCATATACTCCATTACTTTTCCAACTGATATTTGGTCTGATTGTAGGATCCCTGGGGAAGAACAGTTGTCTTTTCAAATCTGTCAGTCTTTTTTTTTTTTTTTTAACTATTCCTCCTCCTTTCCAAAGGATTAGATTGTGTTCCAATTTGCACCAGGAAACCGTGTTTTGGCACAGAACTGCCAGTCTCTCTTTGCCTTCCCAGACAAAAGGCAATCGGTGGGCACAAGCCTGAAGTTATCTTAAGAAATTGAGATCCCCCTGTGAGCCCCCATTTCTGCTGATCTCACACTTTCCCATGAACAGGAGCTTCCTTTAAATGTCACTGAGGTCAGTTTATCCTATAAATCAAGGGCAAACTCTCTCCAACTAAAGCTCCAACCAGCCCCGAATAAGACAAAACTGAGCTCCTTAGAAGGATCTTGTAAATTGACAGTCAGAAAACAAGAATATGAGAAATCAGGCTCTGCTTTAATTACTTAAAAAGATAATTGTGCCAATGTGGTGACAACAGAGAAAGACAAGAAATAATTAAAGGAACTATCCCCCCCCATCCTATTTAATTTTTCTTCTGTGCTTTTTAAACTTTTGGCCAACAAATTTAAAAGGTAGGCTCTTATCTCTGTATTATTTTAATTCTGCATCTAGGACATTTTGACTTTTTACCCCTCCCAAGAAAGAAGCTAATGCTGGTTTTTCTTGTTGTTGTTGTATTGTTTTGTTTAACTATGAAGTAAAAGAAAACAAACTCTGGTCTGCAGAAGCCTACTGAGCTGGGGGGGGGGGGGGTGCTCGGGGAATCCTTCTTCCCAACCAGAAAAGACACTGGGGACACCACAAGGTCAAGGGTGAGAAAGGAAGAGAACGCTGAAAACGTGCAAGTACTAGATACCCACTGGCATTTCCCGGGACCAGGAGACACTAAAGAGAAGCCGCAGGCGTGGGGAAAGGGGGAAAGAGAGAGGACAAGATGGAATCACCACGCATTTTGTCTCCATCACAACGGTGGTTGGTGCTACTTCCTAAGATACAAATAGTGAAGTCTGTTAAGGTAAAGGCCAGGGTGGGGGGCGCTTGGAAAAAAAGGGAGAGAGAGAAATAAAGCAGAAAATTAGTCCCAGAATGAGCAATGCAGTAACATGCAAGTTACTAGTAGTAACTTCGGGACCTCAGTTTCCGAGGAAAATGAAGTGAAGCATAAGAATGAAACCAATTAGGTGACATTTGAACTTCCTGCCTGAGCAAATTTGGCCTGATTGCCAGAATCCAAGAATACTGCAATTTCCACAGGGTGCCCAACTCCTCGCGGCCGCATCTGATCCCCAAACAAGCTGCCCGCAGCGGTGTCTGCAACCGGCAGCCCCACGCCCGCTCAGTCCTCCCGGGCTGAGCCCCAGTCCAACCCGGGCCACGCTCTCCAAGTGAGCGAGCGGGTCTGAGGCAGCAGCGGCGAGAGAGGCGGGGGAGGGTGGAAAATGCGAACCATGTGTTGGGGATGGGGGGATGTTATGGGTCTGGTAGTTTGAGATGAGGCAGGAGACTGTGTGTGGCAAGGAAACGGAGGGCATGAATTTCAAGTTAATGAGATCAGGACACCCCCCTGGGAGGACTCCATAGTTTCGAAAGGAAAAAGCCTCAGGTGGTGGGATAGACGCGGGCTCGGAGGCCGCAGATACCGAGACACCAGCGAGGGTGTAGAGTTAGACTCTGCAACGTCCACACATCCGGCCCGTGAGCCCTTACCTTGGTCGGTGATGGAGCGAATGCCCAGGATATCGGTGACGGAATGGGAGGAGGGCCAGGTACGGGGCATGGCCACCGAGCCGGGGATGGCTGGCACCCCGGGCGGCGTGGGCACCTTAGCTGCGGCCGCCGTGATGGGGCTGGGGTACGAGTAGATGTGGTTATAGGGCAGAGCCGGCTGCGGCGCCGGCTGGTGCTGCTTGTAGGAGTCGTAATGACCCTGTTGAGCCAAGTTGCCGATCTTGTTGCGCAGGATGCGGCTGATGGAGCTCACCGAGGGCACGTTGTACTTGTCGCACACGCCGTCCGCCAGCAGGCGGTCCCGGATTTCCCAAGCAAAGATGCCAGGGTCCCTTTGCTTGTAGGTCCGGATGTGTTTCACCACGGTGGGGGTGGTAACTCGGGGTTTGCTGCCCCCAATGGCTCCTGGCAAGATCGAGCCTGTCTCGTTGTAGCGCGCCAGAATCTTGCTGACGCAGCCGTGCGAGACCCGTAGCTGGCGGCTGATGTCACACGGTCTGATGCCCAGTTGGGCCAGTTCCACGATACGAAGCCGGATGGCGTTGGGCAGCGGCCTCCCGTTCACGAATACTCCTCCCAGCTGGTTCACCTCCCCAAAGGCTGGCTCTGCAAAACGAACACACGGCGCGCGGGGACACGCACCGGGAGTTTGGGACAGCCGTTTACCACTCGGCCTCCGCCCGCATAAGAAGGCAGGGCGGATGCACCCACCCCGGACTAGGGACCTGGGCTTTTCCCAAACCCTATTGTCCCCGAGTCTCGCCCAGTGGCCCCAAACCACTAAGGTCGAGTGGGACCCCCCCCCCCATTCCGGTGGTGCCTGCGGCCACTACAAGCAAACAAAGTGGTGGGACACAGGGCCGCTCCAAGTGTTCAAAAGTCTCCGAAGCGGGCAAGGAGATGGGTCTTGACGCCTGCAACAGGCTCCTTCTCGCCTTCTCGGCGCTAAAGTCTTTGGGCCGCTACCCCTTGAGCCCCAGCGCCCCGCCTGGAGACCCGCGCGATTAGACAAGGTCTAGAAGAAACTACAGTTTATTTGGGTTTTTTTCCCCTCACGTTCTGAGTGTGTGAGTCTACGTGAGACAAAACTTGGTCCTCCACCAAGACTGCGGAGCTTGCTGATGCCACCGCTCCCTTCTTTTAAAATCAGAAAATGGCATCAACAGCAACCCAGTAGCCAGCGTTCAGACTGAACTGCTGTGCGCCCTGACCCTTAGCGTGTTCCTAACAACTTGTAGAAACACGAGCAAAGTCAATAAGAGTGTGAGCGCTCAGTGGTGCGCGCCCTCGCTCTCCCACCCTCCCACCCACACCCTGTGGTTCCCTCCCTCCCTTCCCGGCTCTGACAGCGTCCCCCGCCGCCACTCACCCATTGCTCCGAGCAGTACACCAACGGGGCCCCAGTTCCGCACTCCCAAAAAGTAACTTTTCGCACAGCCTCAGTGGCCCGGCTCGTCGCTGCCCCGGGCCGCCGGTGCCTCCACTTCTTCCCGGGAGGAGGCGGCGAGAGTGCAAAAGGAAGGAGTAAAAGGAAGTCTGTGCCCCGATGAAAGAGGCTAGAGTTCTGCATTTCAATCTAAGCAGCAACGTGGGCTGGCCTGAGCTGGGCCGGGCGGCCCCGTCAATCACTCACCAGGGACACGCCCTCAAAGAGGAGGGTCCGAGGGCAAGCTGCGTGGTGATTGGTGCGGCCAGCTGAGCGACAGTGCAGTCCGGGAAAGTCCTTCCGCTGTCTCTTTCAAGCTTGCTCTGCACCTGGATGACTAAATACAATGAAAATGGGAGTTTGACACCTTCCCAGGAGCAGCGCAAACAGACAACACAATCGGGCTGATAAAAATGCTGAATAAGCAAATGAAAGCGTTTGGTCTGAATTTGAGAGACTCGAAGGGAGAAGGGGTTGAAGAGACTTCTAGGAGGGGAGGAGGGACAGATGCCTCAGAATTGAAGTTAAAACTCCAGGTGGGAGGTGGGGGGCCACCGTTACGAGGGGCAGTGGTTCTTAGAATTGCCCGTCATGCGGGCCTCCAGGGGCTGTCTGGAGAAGAACCTATTACCAGCAGGGGCTACCTCACTCCAGCCTATGCCAGGTGGCGAGAGCACAGGTGTGAGATGGTAGGCCCCTCGGAAAGACCAGGAGGTTTAGGAGAGACCGAGCCGGAGATGGGGGCCACTGCGACCGCCAGGTGGAGACCCTTCTTCTGTCTCCGTGACTAGCCTCCTAACGCAGCCTCTGATGGGTTCATCCAGAAGCGCGGGGCCAAACCGTAGCCACACAGGCTCCAGTCCCGGGCCGTGCGCGGTGCGCCGAGAACTTACGCACAAGGGGTTGACGATTGCCTGTGCGAGGGGCACTCTCCTTGGAGGCCAGCACACCACAGAGCTCAGCCGCGATACTGGTCTGCTGGTACCTGATGCCAAGGTCTGCTGGCATCCCCCCACCAGTGAAAGGTTTAATCAAAAAGACTCGGTCCCAAGAAAGTTGAACACTGAGACTGCACATACAAGTAATCCCCCGGTCTTCTGTTTAGTTACCAGAGGCCCTGCGGGGCAGCCTACTTCTGAATTTTCACTTTCGATCACTCTAAGTCTAATCTAAAGAGTACAGTACTCTTGTTGGCGGCCAAAGCTGATCACATTTTGAGTATGGGTTATGGGGAATGCTAGTCAAAATTAAAAGCAAGACGGGGAACATCTTTAATGAACTTGGGTGTTTGTACTGCTTCTGGTCGAGGATACTGCTACTGCTACTTGATAGTCAAAACGCTACTTCTCGTGCACACAGGACTCGTGTTGATCTTCCCACAATCCCGAGGGATGTGTGTGGCTCTGGTCTACAAACAGAGAAGCTGACTGGGCCCAGATTCCGGACCAGTAAGTGACCAGAAGCCAGAAAAGCGAATGATCATCTGTGCTTTTTGAAACCGAGAGCCATCTCCAGATCCTCAAGCTTCTGTTGTTGGGGCCGCAGTCTAACTTCAAATTTACAGGTAAGGAAGACTTGGAAGATTAAAAAAAAAAAAAGATGAATTCAAACACCCTTAATTCCTTATGCTTGATTCCTGTGAAAAGTCTCACAACTAGAAATACTTGAACATGTCTGCCTTTTTTGTTTGTTTCAATTGTTTAAAATTTCTCGCAATTTGACTTGATAGCGGTTTCACCTTCGTCTGACCCTCACTACCTGTTGCTTGGCACTGCCTGGTATCTTACCCCGCAGAGGTGCTTTGGGAATCCAAGATTTTTAATGCAGCAATTCCATCTCGGGGGTTGGTGCAAATTAGTTGAGACTGAGATATCAGAGAGGAGCTTAGGACTGAGGTTTGTGAGAAAGATTGAACATCCTGGGCTTCTGGATCACGAAGCTCCCTGACCCCTCCCCCCCCCCCACACACACACACAAACACGCACAGTGACTAGCTCTACCTCTTGCTCAGACTCCACACGGCTCGTGCGCTCCCAGTGAGCGCCTCGCTGACTTTGCTGGTCTGCGGTGTCGGTAATGGGCTATTCCACCTTCCGGCTGGCAAGACCCAGTGCCGGGATGTGTCTATGCGCTCTTAGAGGGTTATAGTGGTTCTACAGCACCAACCCAGAGTGATTCTGAGATTCTCATTGTTTAGAGCTCTGGCTAGGTGTACCTAACACACAAATCCCTCTCGTTCATCTCTAAACTCCTTCAGCTACCTCACATATCCTGCACTCCCAAATAGGTCTGTCACTCTCTCTCTCCATTTCCACCTGTTGGGGCAGGGCATGATCATTGTGGCGCAGCCTCTGCTGGGGCTCCTCGGAGCGCGGCAGGCCCTCATCACGCCGGCGAGTTCGGGTGTTTCGTGCTCTCAGCCCAGGACATTCTGAAGAGCTGGCGAGCATCTTCGGTGTTTAGGGACACTAAGAAGAATCTGCGGCAAACTGAGGCCCCAACTTCGGGGGCAAAAGGAATCAAAGCTTCAGGGGAGAGACAGAGGTGAAGGATCCTAGAGGAAGGGGCTGATTTTAAATCCTCCTGGGGACGCACAATGAGTGCTGCGGTCAGGTACCCGGCAAATCGAAGACCCCCAACGAAAGAGAGACGAGTGACCTGAAGAAGGGAAAGAGGGCTAGAGGGCGGGCCGGCAGGAGAGAGAGAAACATTAAGGGCCAGTAAGCCTCGACGGTGGTTCTAAAGATGAGGACTTTGAGAAAGAGCAAGGGGCAGATGGGGTCATTGCTCCCTGGTAATGCCGGCTCTGGACCCAGAAGATTACACAGAGATCGGAAGAATATCTACTAAAAGAATTTCTACTGAGAGACCAAAACCAAAATACAACCAGTTAAGGGCTGCAGCTGATACAGGCCGGTGAAAAGCCAAAAGCCCTTCCAGGGTGCTGTCCAGGCCTCCTCCGAGGGGCTACCCGTCCTCTGGGTAAATATTTACTCTGTGGGAGACTGGAAGCTAGCCGGGGAGGGTGGGAAGGAGAGGACTACACGCAGCGGGGAGAATCCCTAAGCCCGGCACCGGCGGGGACAGACGTGCACGCCCGCCAGAGGGGAGGGAGCCAGGGCCCCGGACTCCAGGGGCAGCTCGCGCCCCCCTCCCCACCACCCCACCCCCACCCCCCGGGCACGCGGCTGGGGGAACTTTAGCCCTTTAGCCCGCAGCGCGTCTCTTAGGCTGGACCTCTGCCCTGCCACTTCGGGCCCAGGCCAGATGCTGTAAAGTCTTCATAAATCTGTCAGCGGTCCCAGTGCCGCGGACGGTAACCTGTGGTGCCCCCCTCTCGGCACAGGCCGGGTCTGAGGAGAGACGACGAGAAGGAACAGGAATCTGGCTCTATCCGAAGCCGCCCTCGAGCAGCCTGGTAGATGGCGCCCGCGGGGGCGACTGCCGCGGCGGGACCCCGGCGCTACAGGCTGCTGAGGAAGGGGAACTCTTCCCTCGCTCTGCAACCCTGACCAACACCCTAGGCTGCTTCCCGGAGTCCGCGGGTCAGCTAGGGCTGCGGCTGGGGGATAGAATGAGAGATGGGCGTGTGTACGCGCAGGAGAGGGGTCCGGCTGTTCTCAGTGGCACTCGTGAAGAGCAGGGTTGACAGAGAAGAATATTAAGGGGCAGATGCCTCCGACCTGCCTTCCTCCTGGGGTCAGGAGCCAGGGCAGGCACATCCGGCCGTGCCCACTTCTCGCCCTACCCAGGGAGCTCCGAGGGATGGAGAGGAGGCAGAGTCTGAGCTCCAGGACGGGTTTCCAGAGCACAGTCACGTCTTCCAGCCTTGTGAGGAGGGAAGGAGGTAGAAACAAGATCTCGCCCCCGGTTCTCCCAAAGGAGCGCTCTTGCAGGGTAAGTAAGAGCGCGGCGGAGAGCGGAAAAAGAAGCCGGACTTCGGTCCTCGCCACACTGCTAACGCCTGGGCCACGGGTTCCAACCCCGACCTGCCCACTGCTCTGTCCCGGCCACACGGGGTCAGCGGCAGCTCCTCCGCCCCCTCGACCTCCCCGCGCCTGCTGCGGCACGTGGCAGCCGGAAGCGCACCCCGTGCCTAAGGCGAGGGAGGGTCCACGCTGAGCTGCGGGCCAGGCGGGATCTGCGCGTGAAGCAGCGGGCGCAGTCGTCAGAGGTGGCCACAGCGGAAATTTCTGGGGTGAAGGAGAGATAGACCGCCAGGGCCCTCAGCCCCAGCCGGGGACCCGGGTTGGGGTGTGGAGGTGCCCACACACTGACCTGCAGGCCTGGACTTAACCGGGCTGCAGACGCCGCGGGACGTACCAGCCCAAGTGGAGGTGGGGCGACGGGGGGGGTGGTGTGCGGCCCCCAGAAGGAGCCCAGAAGATTCTCCGAGAATCGCCAAAGCCTCCCTGCCGCCTCTCCGCCTTCCTGTCGTTGCTTACGATTCAAGACCCTTTCCCCGGAGGGTAGCAGCGTGCGGGGTCCGGCCAGAGCGCGGAAATCCCGCTGCGGGCCGTGCGACTGGCCCCCGGGGCTGCGAGCGCTCCTCACCCGCTTTCTCCTTCCAAGGGCAGGGGAGGGGCCTGTTGCCGCCTGAGACCCGCTTTTAATTCCCAGCCTGCCTGTTTCTGATCACCCGGGGTTGGTTTTTCTGTTTGTTCACTCCTTCTGTTACAATAAAAACAATCGACATTTCTTTTCAGTTTCCCCATATTAGCGTCACTCAGTAATTGTTCTCCACCCCCCCCCACCCCCCCGCCGCGTTGAAGGCGAACCGGATTGCTGGTACTCTCGCATTGGAAGGTTTCCGAGTATATAAGCAAATCTTCCCTAAAGACTTTAAAGTAAAAATAAATAACGGCCCGGGAAATTGCCATGACCCTAACATCACTTTCTGAACGCAAATTACACCCATTTTTCAGTTTTCAACAGCGGAATTGCTTTCAGAAGGACGGCTCGGAGCCCCATGTGATATGGTTACATTTGTTTATTAAATCCGCAAATGAAAGAGAACACATTGTGTGTGTGTGTGTGTGTGTGTGTGTGTGTGTGTGTGTGTGCGCGCGCGCGCGCGTGCAAAGAGCAAAACTTGTGGCTGCGATCTCGCAAGTGCTATCAAGGATCGGATCCGGTTGGGGGCAGGGACAGGGAGGATCCCTTCTGGGAGGCCAGGCTGAGCCTCCTTGTCAGAGGGAGGGGGCACTTCGTCTCGCCTGGGTCTAAGCATCTGTAGGAGCCATACCAAGAGGAGGACACCGTCCGCGGTCACTCTACAGCCTTGAGCTGAAGCAGCTCAAGAGAGTTGCCGCTGCGTGTGGGA